AGGAAGTTTGCAAAAGCCTTGTTCAGGCACACTGGCTCAGTAATCACCGAGGAAGAAAAGTTGAAGACAGCCCATAAAGAACCAGATACTTAAAGAACCCGAAGATGGAGGAGGCTGAGGAGAAAATGTCAAATTACGGTTGAATGAAGAAACCAAAGAGTTGAGTTAAACATTGTTAACCGCCACAGAAACACCTTCACTTACACTCCCACGCAGAGACATTATATTGATGTGGCAGAAAGACTGAGTAAGATATACTTCCAAAGGGTTTGCCTTGCATTCTCTTCTTGTCGTTTTCCTGACAGAAATTAATTGTCAAGACTGATCTGCGGTGCAACAGACCTATTCACCAGCAACCAAAGAATTCTACAGGGGGGGGGTTGTGCCAAAGGAACCAGAAATAAAACTACTGAAGTTGATTAAGTTAGCATGGGGTGGGGTGGGGGTGAGTTTAAAAGTATGCAAGACACGGAAGACAAAGTACAGGAAGTTAAGGGAGAGTAAGAGATGACAGGAGCTGGGAAGGAAATAAGCAAAGGACTGTGAGTGAAGGAGGACTCGAGGTACGTCCAGCTTTGAGGAAATACAGTCTAGGCAGGGAAAGGACGCCTCCCCCAACGTTTTCAAACTAGTTGTCTGAACTTTTCTTTGAAGGACAAGAGAACTAGGAGGAGTCTCAGACAGCAATACGACTAGTGATCTAGTAGTTGCATGAGCCAGGTGTATTTACGGGGTCCAAAACTCTGCAACACTATCTAGGTTGTTATTCACAACACAGCTGTTGCAGATCTGGCCTATAAATAAGTCCCCTCCTGTTTCCTCTTCCGTTTTCACGCCACGCAAGGGAAACGGATGGCGGGGGAGGAACGGTACATGTAGGGCATGCCATTCAAATGGCTCCTTCTCAATAGCCGTGTCAACCATTTTAAGCACAGGCCATTACAAAGCAAATGTGAGGAAAGCACCAATGAACTCCATGGCGAGACGCCAAATCAGGGAAACAGCTACCACCGGCTTTGCTCACAGAGATTTAGAGTCCGTCATAACCTTGGTTTTTAATGGAGTCAGATTTAATGAGCTTTTGCGCCTACCGTAAAAATTTCCTTATTACCTTACCCACAACTCAAAACTACCATCAGCAGAAACACGGTGCATTCCTGTCCATAGAGAGAGTTTAATGGTGGCCAACCTATTATATTCAAAACCCATCAGCAGTACCATTCTTAATGTTTTCCCTGATTATTATTTTTTTTGTTGCTCTAATTGCAATCCACTGAACCTTGTATTTAAAATGGCTCTGGATCACAAGTTTCCTGGGGTGGGAAAAAGAAACCCACAATTCTAGCCTTCAAAAGTTGAGATGATAGTACGAATCAGAAGTAAAGGAAGCCTACATACAGGGATTTTGATTTGCATACTTGCGAGGAGTTGCTTATTACAGATTTTTAAGAAAAGCAAAACATAGTTCTTTCTCCCGTAACAGTTTTCCAAAGCAATTCACAAATTCATTAAAACAAAACAATAGCATCTGCTCAAGAACCTTTTATTATCGGCTTAGTTGACCAGAGCTGTCAAAAGTCCAGCTTTTGGCATTCATACTGTTCGCAACTCAGTCTCCAGATTAATGACATGTTTGTATGCATTTATGTATATATGTATCTACTAACTAACTGAACAGCTAAGTTCACAAAGCAGAGGTTAAAGCCATAAGAAATTAAGAGCACAATAAAAGACAGGTTAAAAGCAATATAGATTTTTTACAACCACCGACCATAACAAAAAATAAAGTCAACAGCAAAGCACAACAGCAGCACAAGGACCTTTGGAAAAGTTCCTTTTCAAAACTGAAACATTCTGATGAAGTGCTCTTTTAAGAACGGTCCGAGCATCCCACCCATACAAAACAAACAAACAAACACCTTTTCCAAGTTCTGTGTTGTTGGAAAAAGGCTAAAGGGATAAGGAAAGCATGCTGGTTTGTTTGTTTCAGAGTTTCTTTTATTGTTTTTACTCATATTTTTAGAGCTTGCATATGAATCTTTGTAGGTATAGTTCACTTGACCCTGATAGTTGAAAGCAACCATAAAAGAAAGCAAGATGGATGATTTGCAACTGGGAACATGGACAAGGAGCGACAAGCATCCTTGGATGGTGAAACATATAGCAACTTTACATGCTTCCTGGCACTTTATCCGCCTTCTGAGAGGCTTTACGGCTGTGGATTGTGTGGGGTCAATGTACACAAGGTTTCCCTGAACAGGAAGGCTGAAGAGGAAGAAAGTAGGGGTTGAATTGCACGTGGGTCCCTCAAGAGAGCCTGAAGTATTCTCACTCTCTAGGAGAAGGAGAAAGGAAACTACCGTCTTTGTCTTAGCCAAACTATCTAGCAGGATCCCTAAAATCTGAAGACGACGTAAGACAAGCCCCACTGGGTCTAGAACAAATACGTGCCTCTCTCAACTTCTACTCAGGGACTTCTGACAAGTCCACAGGCAAGACACAAGGTCAAGAGGCCTCACAGATGGAACTAAAAATAAATTTTTTAAAAAAAGGAAAATGGGGGAAAGAAGTGGGGGCGGAAGCTCAAGGAAAAATCTTTTGAAATGAGTTATCCACACAGTCATTCCTCTCCCCTCTAAACCTTTGACAAGGGGAGGCTTTAGTGCAATCTGATCCCCCAAAGTGCCAAAAAACCACAACTGGCTGGCCCTGGGAGCGAAACTGCCAAAAAGTCAATCAGGGTCTGCCAACTTTGAGAAGTTTGGAGAAAAAAAATGTCTCTGGCCAAGAGGAGGCGGGAAGAGGAGAGAACAAGTGTGAATGATGAGTCAGAAGGCTCAGACTTCAGAAGGGATGGATTAAGAAGAGGGCACGGTGTCACAGGGAAAGCCACAGTGTTCTCTGTATGACTCCCAGGAGGCGCCCGCCGGAACCTTGGGCATGAGGGGCGTTCTGAATATTAGCATATTAGGGGAATCTAGGACTGGCAACACTATCATCCCCGGCTGCTTTCTCTTTCAACCGTCTCTAAATGAGACACGAGTCTTAAGTGGCACTTTGATGGCCCATCCCCAACAGCTCAGTTGACCTCTTCGTAGCAATGTCTGCTTTCAATGCACGGATGTAGGTTCCCATCCTAGCCAGCTTGCACAGTCCTAATGCTATAAAAACCTCATACTGCATCTGTGCAGGAAAACCTATCTTTAGGAAGCCTGCCACTTCCCACAATCCAAAAACATGACTCCTCAAAAAAAGGTGGGAAACAGGACCAGCTGAATGAGTGGCATTGGCCAAGCCTTCTGGCCAGTGACGGCCAAAATAAATATCAAACCATGTAAAATATAGAACAGCTGTGGCATCCATTCAGAATATCACCCTGAGGAGCGGGCAAAGTCTGTCTCATCAACTGTCCCAGTAGTCCTCACCAACGGTGAAGCTGATTAAGGATGATGGCACTTGTAGTCCAAGGATACCTGGAAGGCTTTGTTCAAAGTTCTGCTGGGAAGATCTCTTGCTCAGCTACCTGAACCTTGAGAATCAGTTTTTCCAGTGCTAACGAAACTGTGGCACACACACAGCTTTCCAGCCGTGACTTACGGTAAAACCCTGACATTTGTGGTGTCTCTGCTGCGGGTCACGTGTAGACTCAATCAAATCTTACTCAGCACTGGCCTGTCATAAATTCACAGCGCAAACAAGCCCCATGGGTCATGAATGCATTAAGACACGCTAGACAGAAACACAGGAGCCCTTAGGATGATTTAAAGAGGAGCGTTCAGCAACAAATTACAGTGTCACTGACCACTGCTGTGCTGCCGGCTAGGGAGGGCGTCACCCCCTGTCTAGAGAGATTGACCTTGCCCAGCGGCTGGGGGGGGGAGGTGGCATCCCAAGACTGAGGAAAGGCTCCCGGGGGAGCCGCAGGGGAACCAGCCATTTGCAAAGTGAATACGTGGATCTCTTATTTGCTTCCTGCCCCTCCCCGTGCCAATATCTCCCAAGGAAGGAAAGCATAACGAGAGCCTCTCGGAAGGAAGAGCCCAGCTTTCAAATGGAATGTTTTCCTTTCCGCTGCTGTGCTGGTTTACCTAATTAAGAAGCAGAGGTTATCCTCACACAGTTACTTCACCCAGCTATATTTCTCTGCCTGAAGAAGCAACAGGGTGTATTCCAGCCACACGTGACACACTAGCTTGGTTCATTCAGAAATCACTGTGCTTGTCTATCTAGAGAGAACCACCTACTTCCCCCGCCATGGATTAACCATACTGTAGTTGCTTTATTTTATTCCTGGATGGGGGGGAAAAAGGCCTCGAATGTGTCAAGGATGACTGGACAGTTTTTCAAAATAGGAAAGAAAAGGGGGAAAAAAGCTGAAGAGGTGCTGCTGTAACACCAAATCCGGCCTGGGTTTCCTGCACCTTTTTAGTTTCTCATAACCTCTGTCCCCCCAGCTTGTCAAGACAAGGTCAGCCTAAGATACATTAGACAGAAACCCGTTGTCACAACTGAAACCATGCTCGTGTCCAAGGGGCAAGATTAAGGTGGTCTTTTGCATCTGAGAAATTTCTCTTGCAAAGGAAGAATAAGCTTAGGTCCATCACAAAACATAACAAGCAAATTTGCAAATTTTAAGAGGTGAGAGGAGGTCCTGCTGGAGCCATCGCACATAGCCCGCATGCAAGGGACTTTTATTTCTAGACCTTTCACAAGCCATTCAGCCCTCAGAGACACTGCTTCCATCCTCTCTGGCAGCACCTTTCATCAAATGATGTAATCTTTTTCTTTCTTTCTTTCTTTTTAAGCTGTACTTATCTTTTAAATATTTTGCAAGCCACCTGGAGTCCCTTTATTGGGAGAAAGGCAGGATTTTAAAAAAGTAAATGAACCCAACAATATGACATGCTGCTCTCAAGTACTGATTCAAAAACAACAACGTGGTATAACACATGGGTGAGGGTGAGAGAGAGAGAGAGAGAGAGAGAGAGAGAGAAACATACCTGCTATTTCTTGGGATGGCTGGAGATTTAAAGCCCCTCCCAGTTTTTCTGGGAGGGAACCTTGACCTTCCAGGATCCTGACCAACTCTCTCAGGCGTTCACATTCCTCTCGCAGATTCACCTGCTCCTCCAGATGCTGCTGCCTGGCCAGGCGTGCCGGGTTCAGGCTAAAGTGGAGGACTTTGGTTTTGCTCGGATCATGGTAGCCCTGCAAGACACACAGAAATCCTGTCCGTTAAGGTCCACGGGAGTGTTTTGCACAAACACAGCACACGGCGGGAGGCCATCAAAGAGAACGGCAAACCGGTATTTTAATGGGAAGATCCAGACAACCACTCAGTCAAAGGGATCTTTAACACACGGATAGAAACTTAACACATGGAGCGGGCCTTCATGAACTGTTTTTGTGCCTTTAAAGAAGCGGAACACAAGAAGCAGAAGGATAATGGCAAGGCAGTCCCTATGCAAAACCAATAAATAGAGGGACACAGATCTAACATATGAAACAATAGCATACAATGTGAGACACTTAAGGAGATACCAAGAAATATTTTTTGTATTTTGCTGACATGAGAACCAAGAGATCTTGCTTCATCTGAAGGCTATCAGCAGATTTGATCAAATCTAATACAATTATTTTAAAAAGAAATAAACCTGCTTAGTCTTTAAGAGACCACAAGACTTTCTGTGGTTTCTGTTGTGTGAGCCTTGTGGCCCAGTGGTTAAAATGCAGTACTGCAGTGAAGACTCTGCTCGCGAGCTGTTTCATCCTGGCGTGAAGTTGATTCAGCCTTCCATCCTTCCAAGGTCAGTAAATTGAGTGCCCAGGTCGCTGCGGGGAGCGGCAATGTGTAGCCTGCCAAATTAAATTGTAAATCACCCAGGGAGAGCATAAGCACTGTGGGGTGGTATATAAGCAGCACACTTTGCTTTACTCAATTTAACATGAAATAACTGTACTTATCATATGCACAAAATGGCCGTGCCTGTTAATACCTTGAAGGACAGAAACTTTTTTTTTACCGAATATTTGCCATTTTTCTATAGTGCACAACTTTAAAAGGCAGAGCTTTAGAAATGACAGCAACAAACAGCACAAATCTAATTTAATTCTGTAGAAATCTGACATCACTGGGCTCAAACTGTGGCCATCGTTACTGAATTGTGTCAGCTTTTCCTGAGCAAGCGGCTAAGAGACATTTCATGTTGCACTTTTCCCAAGAGGTGAAGTATATTTATAGCAATTTAAGTGATGAGCCAGATCCTAGAATAGCTGATTAATTTCCCTTTGGTGTGAGACAACACTGAAGTTAAACTTATACCTGCAAAATGGAAAGGGGGAGAGAGAGAGAAGGCCAGAGAACTTGGCAGAAAATTTTGCAACCACAACAAAAGGGGGAAGGGAATGCACATAGTGTTCCCATGTGTCTAGAAAGCAAGACTCCAAAGCGTGCGATAGGGCTTCCAGTTTGCACTTACACAGCAGGGTTGAATTCAGTCGGCCCCTTATGAGCATGCCATTAGGCATGCACAGCTGTCCTGTAAGTACAATTCTCTCCGCTTGCCGGAGAGCTGCTAACAGTAGCACGGATGGGGAGTGCAGTGGCATCAGCTGGAAAGGGCAGGTGGTAGATTTCAACAAAGGCAGCTGATCAGTCTGATCAAGCGGCCTGAGGCTTCAGGGACTACAGTATCCTGACTCCATTCACCTTCTTAAACAGTCAGCCTAAATGCTATCCTAAAAGTCCAGACCCATCACATGGCAGATCATTCAAGGCTCTCTCTAAACAGTCTTGACGCCATCCAAGCTCTCAGTGAGATTCAACAGGACAATCTCTTGTGGACATGCACCTCCCAGCACTGGGAAGTATGACAGGGACACACATAATCCATTTGCCACTGCTGTCCTGGACCATCTGGCCACAGAGGCCACTGTGATATCCAAAAAAGCACAAAGTGGTCCTATAAAATGGCAGCAGAAAATGGATTTTCACTTCCTAGTAGCACTCAAAGAGAAGCTAGACTAAGCTGTCAACAGAATCACAGGAGGGGGAAAAGGGGGGTTCTAATAGGGAATTCAAAGTGCAGAGAGGAGTGAAAAGTTTCCGTGTGTCTGTTTACATCAGACAGGCTTTGCTTGCTCAATTTATTGTTAGCTGCGTTAAGCCTGGAAGAGAAAAAACCTTGCAAAATCCTTGAGCAGTCTAAAGCCACAGGGTGGGGGTGGAGAGTGTGGCTTATATCACTAACGAGTCAGATGTTTGTACCTTCAGTCTGTTGAATACACTGAAGTGGTAGAAAATGCACCTTTTAAAAAATTTCGGTTGTCTGTTCCTCTGCAGAACAAAAACACACAGTCAAAACAGTAGCTAAACCTAATGTCTGATGCTTCCCTAGCCAGCAGAAAATCCTTTTGCAAAAATTTGCATGGATGGCTTACGATTTCACAGTGGCTCCATTTTAAGAGCAAAACTGCCACATAAAGACCCATTTTCGTTCCATTTTTCCAGGAGTAGGCTTTGCAGGGACCCCACCGAAACTTAACCATGAGATATCTTTCAGCTGTTTTAGTGCCCTCTAGTGACACATATCCAGCTGCTCAGACACTCTGCTTAAGCGAAGAAGCATGCTAGGGGGAAAACACAGTTGGAGGCAGCAGGATCCTTGTCAAGTGTGAAAAATCACCAACATCAAATGCAAGACCTAAACAGTTGCTCAGCCTCGAACTGTGAAGAATTCTCCGGGGGAGAGCATTTACCCAAAAGAAGCATTATCAGGGATCAGCTGAAAGTGACCTGGCTATATCTGTGCAAGACACACCGGATGCGTACAAACACCGACCACAACAGCAATCAGTGGGCGCAAGAAACAAGACAGGCATTTCCCTCCATAATAAAGATACAATACTGCGGATCAGAATCAAGAAGGAAACGGGTGTAACATCCGCCCTGCTTCTCTGCTTATTGAAGGTTGCAATCGGTGGGAGCTGCCATTTGTGTTTGTTTCTAGGGAACTATGCAAGTCAAGGCTGACATTCGTGGACTTCATAGGCTCCTGTTTCTTCCCTAGACCTGATCAAGTCGGGATCACAAATGAATTTAGTCCATTATGTGAACCTGAACCCAACAATTTTGCATCAAAGCCCAACTTCAAGAACCTACACAGTGCTGAAACAGATAAGACATAAGCACCCCAAGATTGTTTACACCATTTCCCCTAGGTCCTGGCTAGAAGCTCGCTTGTTCATTCCCATTTTCTCTTCAGAATAAACTCCCAAAGCAGTGCTGTGGGCTCTCTTAACTCTTAGCCCCATTATGGCCATTTCTTTTCAAAATGCAGACCTTACAAGAAGGCACTCTTATCAGTTTAGGTTACAGTGGAACTCATCCTATTATTGCCAGGTTGCCCACACTCCAAACATTGCTTAGAAAATTGTTTGTTTAACATTAAAGGCAGGCTCACTCTGCAAAACATATTGTGATCCCAAGCCAATATCTCAGACATGTAAAGGAATCCATCTCTGGGAGAGACCTGCTAATATGTAATAAAATTTCTCAGTGCCGAGTCTGTTTCTGAAAGCTTACAGCCTGAGGAGTCTGAACTCAGGAGAAAACCTAGGTACTCCATTGTACATAACTGACTACAGAGTAGCAAGGCGGCACTTTCACGGACGATAAAGGCATCAATGCCAACAGAAAAGAGGCCACAGATGCTAAGAGCCTACAATCCACAGAAAGTAACAACCTGAACAGAACCAATCTAGGTATTTTCCATGCTGCTACTTCTGGATATCTCCTGACCAGCTCACTCAAGCCTGGGTTTTGCTTTCATGCTAGTTTATGTGGAAGCTGCAGACTCCCATCTTGGAGGGACAAGGAAGCCAGGCTGGGTTTTAGTTCTCTGCTTAAAAGAGCTGTCCAGAGTGCTGAATGGAGCAGGTTCACCACCCTGCCACACCAGAGTCACCAGCCTGTTTCAAAGAAGCCCAAGCCATCTCTTCGATAGAGGACAGCTCCCAGGTTAGTACAGGTTGGTTCAAGTTGAGAGAGAGAGAGAGAGATCCCAGTAGAAGATTAAACATCATCACATTAACCTTCATTTCGGTTGTCCTACAGGCAGCTGGTCCAGGCAGCTGGTCCATTGCCAGGCACAATTCAGAGTGCTGGTTTGACTTAAAAAGTCCTAAACAGCTTGGCACCACATATCCCTTTATGAACGTACCTACCTACGTTTTAAGGCCCTCAGGAGAGGCCTTTTTCTCGGTCTCACCTCTTGGTAGGTGCACTCGGTGGAGACCCAGGAGAGGGCCTTCTTGGTGGCTGCTCCCAGGCGCTGGAACTCCTTCCCATGGGAGGCCAAGCTGGCCTCATCTTGGCTGTCCTTCCACAAGCAGGCCAAGACCCTTTGTCTTAGTGATTGGCTGCCTAAGAGGGGGTTCTTAAAACGGGAATTTTGTTTTTCTGTTGGGTCTTATTGTGTTTTTAGAACTGTTTTTATCAACTAGTTTTGATACTGTGTTTATTTACTCCTTTTTAAATACTGTAATAATTTATTGTTCTTAGCTTTTGATACTTTTTTTAATACTATAATCCTCCTTTTTAGGGGAAAAGTGGGGTATAATATTTTAAATAAACAAAACCACCTTGCTAGAAAGATGACAAAAGATAAGGGTTTGACATGCCTATCGAGGTGGAAAGAGCAGGACATAGGTCAATCCATTGGGCACTGCAGGCCAGAGAGGCCCTTTTCTCCCGCAAGGGAAAAAATAGCACCAGGGATATAAGATATATCTTGTTCTTTCTGGCCTCTTACCGGGCACTTTTGCAATTTAGACTGTGAGTTTGGGGTGAAAGGCAGAAGCTGAAAGAAGAGCAGGGCTGCTTCTTCTAAGAAGCAATACCACTGGCCGGATAATTCAGATATAGCAAGTGCAGGAAAGAAAGAGCCTCAAGTCTGCCTGAAGTGATGACTTGCTTGATTTACTGGCATCAGGTGTGTCTGACACTGTCCAGTATTGTGAATTAATTTCTCCCTGGAAACTTAAAAAAGAGCCGACACAACATTCCTGATTTGATGAGGGGTGACCTAGGTAGCAACACTCCATAAAGAACAGGGCACTGGAGAGGGGTCACTGCCACTTTCCCCTGATGACCCTTCTAATTGGAAATTTGTGGGGCTCACTCTACTTCAACCATCACCTTTTCTGTC